TTTTAAGTACTTGCAAATCAAATGAAATTAAAAATAAAGCAACAGTGTTATCAGTTATTATCATAATACTATTGCACCTCTCTTGCTCTCTCATTAAATACTATCATTATTTTTATTATTAATTCTATATAAAATATTTTTTGTTCTCTTTTATTTGTTATTTTCTTAATCATCATCACACAATAATAATGATAATAATAACACACTATAAATAGTAAAATATTATTTGGGGGAGAATTTAACATAACCAAACACTATTGTTTAACTTTATTTAATATTATTATGAATAGGTATATATGTACTTTAAAAATGAAGCAAACCACATACATGCAACATAAAACTTGAATATTTTATTATAGTATGCATTGTTAGTAAAAAAAAATAATAATAATATGAAAATAAAGGATATTATTGCAATGTGAGCGAATACAAGACAAGAAACAAAAACATTATTTATATAAGGATGAAAGGAGAATATAAACAGTAAATATCCTTGTTGATAGTAAATAAAGTAAATCTATTTTATCAGTATAATTTCAAAAGATTTACTTAAAATCTTCTTCATCTTCTTGTTTTTCTTTTCGCTCTTGTTTCAAGCAAAATAAATTTATTTTGATGATTATGTATGCTTTGCGCTTTCATATTATGATTTGAATGTTCCTATATTGTTTTTTTTTTGTTCCTCAACATTTTTATATGGTTATACCATTATCAGACCAAAAATAACATAAAAAGAGATTGTTATTTTTTATATATTATAAAATGGGGTTGATTAATATTCATATATAAGTGTAGTTGGCTTAAAATTACATATGTTTGGAATTAAAGTATCCAAGGCTTAAGTAATATTTTCATTTTAATATAAGAGATTTGATAATGGATTTTGTATATTAAATGTATTCAAAGCATTTGTAATTTAATTAAGATTTTTAAAGTTAAAATCTTAAGAAACTCTAATTATATTATTAATTTCCTCATAATTTTGGTATTAGATCTAAAATTATAAGTTAGCATTTTATAACTTTCTATTATTAGATTTTTTTACTGTTGACCTAAAATTTATATATTTTTTTTTTACATCTTCTAAGATAATTTTGCTAATTTTAATGATTTGCCTTAAATTTAATTAGTTGATTTTGCTTGTAGCTGAAATTTTCTTTTACATGTACAAAAAAAAAAATTTATCCGTCATTGTTTTACCTATTAATTTGTGTCTAATTTATCAAAATTAATGCAAAAAATCTTATAAAGAAACTTTCATTAAAAATATTATAACTCTAAATTTCTTTCTCTTTAATTTGAATTTAAAGAAAGAAATTGAGTTAATAAAGCCCAATAAATTTATAATAAATATCAAGTTAGGATTAATTCAAGAGTGTTAACAGAAGCACAATAATTTACAACAAATATTTTGATAAAAATAAAAAATCCAGCAACCACTTTTAACGAAAATTTAAGATTTCATGCTAGGTTCAATTGATTTAAAGCGAGGTTCATAATTAATTTTTGTATAAGAAAATTTTTGTATTTAATTTGGAGAATTTCTCTTCTGGATTATTTATATGAGAGCTATAGTAGAATAAAATGAAATTTTTGCAGGAAATACGAATTTTGTATATTATAAAAATTATACTTAATTCAATTGCAAAAGTAAACATACTACATACACTCATGAACATATTTAACTAATTCCAAATTTATATGACAGTGAGTTGAGCTCACGTTATCCGGCCAGTAATAAAATGAGGGTAATTTTAATTTCAATCAATTTTACGCAAAATATTCATATTTTGAATAATATGAAAATGCCTTGATTTGCTAAAAACAAGCAAGGCAAAATATTTTTTAATTGGAGTAATTAATTTTAAAAGCAAAAAAGCAAAAAAATTAATTTTGCGAATATCAAAATAAAAATGGATTTAGTTTCTTAATTACAATTGATGAGCATATGACCATTATGACCAATATAGATATGAGAATTAGAACGACAACAATTTCTTTTCAGGAATTTTTACGCTTTTTTTATATGAGAACGGTGAAAGTCGTTATAATTATAGAAACTTGATTTTGAAATCAAATTAATCATTTTTTTCCAGTTTTTATTTTATAAACAGTTTGACAAAATGTTCTCATTTTCATATAGAAAATTCTTAATAAATTATTATTGATAAAACTTTGGTCATATTTGGTGTTTTGCATGTTACTATATTTTTTTTTTTCTACCAGGTGAAAAAATCTCGAAAGACGAAGAAGGACGGCTCTATCTGCCTTTTTCCTCCGACAATGGGAAAGCGTGACTCCTACCCTAAAAAATCACCTAAATTCTGAACGGATAAAACTGATCCTACAGACCAACTATTACCTTCGCGCAAACTTGGTTTTTCCGTGCAGGAATTAAATACCTTCCATAAAGAAATTGGTATTTCGTGTTAAATCGTATTGTCTTGTTCGTTTAAGTCTTTCTGTCATAACGCCATTGTCTAGCAGCCGAGCTGCTTCCATATTTGCATGCTGTTCTAGACGAGCCCTATGCCTTGTAGCACAACTCCTAATTTCATCCAAAGCCAAAGGAATTCTTAAGTCCCTGTGGATATCACTGTTACATATATACCATGGCGCATTTACCATGCTCCGTAGAACTTTATTCTGGAAGGTTTGAATTTTGTTAATGTGAGTCTTCTTGGCAGAACCCCCCAGTTGAATGCCATATCGCCATATTGGTTTAATGATTTGGTTATAAATTAATATCTTATTATCAATTGCCAAATTGTACTTACGACCTAGGAGCCAATAATTTTCTCTATATTTACTTATTTATTTTATATTATATGTTACTATATTGGAATCATGAAATATTTGATTGCAAGAATTAACCTTTTCAGTATTTTTCATACCTTGTGGTGCTTTACTCTAATGGTAAATTTATTGGTTCGTCGATTTTGAGCTAAGCTATTTAAAATCGAATTATTTTTTTTCTCAGTATTTCATTGGCGAGTTCCAAAAAACCTGAGCGAGAGAAAGAAAAGAGACTCTAATTAAAAACAAATAGCATGTCAAAAATTCAAATTTTCATATAAAATACTTCAGCTCGTCGCTAAGCTGGCAAACCAGTCAACCCAGCTATAGTAGATTGAGCCATTTTTAATGAAAAGATTTGAACTACTACGAAACAGGCAAAAGCCTGTTTTTTTTATAAGAGAAACATATTATTCAACTTCAAAAAATTTTATTATTAATTTAATGCAGCCCTTACAGTTGGCAGCAGCCAGCAATGTGAGCGCAAATTAAATGACTCCAGCTAATTTGTAATGTAGAATATTTTCAATTGTTATTGTCAATCAATATAATTTATTATTAGTAATGATAATTAATGACCATGAAATTTTAATAAAAACTCCGAAAAATCATGATTTCACATAAAAAATATTGAAAAGAAAAAATTTTCAAATAAAGCTATTTTTAGTGAGTAATTTTACAAGATCTTTATGACACAATAATGTAAAAATTATTTCTGAAAAAAAAAAAAACAAAAAACATGATAGCCAATTATTTATGTCATGTCTCGTTATTATGTTGGCCTTTTCAAAAGCTATACAAAGAAAGAAACAACAAATTGATTGAAAACAGAAAACCACATATTTTTTTTTCTTTTCTTTTTTATTAAAGAATAATAATTGCCTATAAAATATCAAACTTGATAATAGCTTTATATAAAAAAAAAAAATCAGTCAGCAAAAAATGATAATTTTTTTTCTCAAAACAGGTTATTTTTAGCAGCTTCCAAAAAAAAAATATATGGCGGTAACTCAGAAAAACGGTTTTTAAGGTTCATTGTTTAAATTTCTTTTCCAATCCGAACGTCTAAGAATAATCACTATACTATCACCCTATGATTAAAAGAGTTTATAACCTACACTTAATTTATATTTTTATATTATGGTAGGCCAATGACTCTTAATATTTTTATATAGAAAGAAAGCTTATTATAAACAGTTAAAATTCGAAAGATATGTAGAATAATTTATGTAAAACAAAAAAAAAAAACAATACGATATTAGAAAATGATTAGGAATTTATTAAAAGTTTAAATTAATTTTAGTAAAAATGTGGATGAAAAAAAAAAAACAAAATTATAGAAACATAACGTTATTTAATTTCCGTGTATCTCTTCCAATATTGTTATGATTTTTCATTTAATGGGTTATTCCACGAGCAGTTTCCAAGTATCTAAAAATTTACGAGATATAGTGAATGATTATTAATGTGGCTATTTGTGTTTAACACAAGTGTGTGTGTTATGGAACTCAAATAATTTAAAGATGATATGGTGGAGAGAGACAATTGCGAATAATATAAAATTATTAAAATTAAATTTAACTTACAAATATATGGAAAAAATTAAATGATGAGTACGTAGCGTCATCTTAATTTATTATTTTGAATTAAAATTGCAATGACATTACGATAACTTGTCATTGGCCCTACTATATTCGTCTTAATTATATATTGGATGGCTAGCTATCGTTCCCAGCTTTTTTCTTCATCTCCAAAACTAACAAGAATTATTTAACGAAGGTCTTTCGTACTTGTTAATAGATATTAATTTCGTACTTAGTTATCATAGTAGTAAAATATTAGGCAATTCTTTTTTGTAAGAGATTACTCCAGAATTACCCGTAGTCAGAAATTTTTACATTAATTTTTTGGTCAAAGACCGTTCTCGTCTTTTTTTTTTGTTGAAATTTTTGTAACATTTATTTCGTACCAAAAATATTTGCGCTATTTTTTTTTTGCAAGAAATGAAAAGCAAAAAAAAATCATAATCGAAATTCGAAAACTTTTGTGATTAAGAATTTGTTAAGAATTTATTTTTGGAGAAATTTTAAATTACATGGCGAAAGGAAAAGCAAAAAAAAAAAGTAAAAAGATAGCATCTATCAAAAATTTATAAAAGGTAAAAATTCTTTTCAAACCAATTCAGTCAATGACCGTTCTTAAAGATGTTGAAAAGTCTGTTTATTTTGGTAATATTTGGCGTAGGATGTGTTCTAACAGCAGATGGTAATTAAATATTTTATTTTTGTTCTTCAAAAAGGATTATAATTACATATGAACAATGCAGTTATAATAGTTAATCTTTCATTAATTAAATTTTAGATATTAGTGAAGATCAAGAAAGTAATGGAAATTATCCATTAATCAGAATAGTAAGAGGACCAGAGGCAATTGATCTTGCTAAAAATGCACAATTACGTAGTGACGATGATGTAGATACACCAATTGATTCTGATGCTGAAGAAGATTCAGAAATACGTCCAAGTTCACGGCAATATCAAAATAATGATATAATTGTTAAGCAAATATACGATAATTTTCCAGATCTTGTTACATTAGAACTAGAAAATTTATTAAATAATCCAAACGGTGATTTAAATGAAGAAGACTCATTTAAAGATTTCGATGATGATTTTGGCTTAAACCAGTTTGAAGAAGACTTAGATACTCCAAGGTAAGAATTTGTATTTTTATTTTTTTTTTTTGAAATATTTTTCTAAGTCTCTAAATCAGTGCGATGAATTTTATTATTATTATTTTACGAAAATTTATAATTAATTTTTTTTTATATACACTTAAAATATAGGCTCGACATAAACGATGATCCTCAATTCGATACTTTCCGTGATGATCAAGACGATTTGAATTTAAACAATTTTGATTTAAATGACAACAATAATCTAGATGATTTTTCTGTTAATAATAATTTTAATTTTGAAAACTTTGGACGTAATGCCCCTTCTGAAAGTTCTCAAGAAAATGACGAAAATCTGGAAGAAAAAATTGATGATGAAGATGAAATTGATGATGACGATGATGAAGTTGACGACAAACAAGAAGTTGAAGAATCCCGCCAAGCGAATGGGCAGAATAATAATAGAAGACGTAACAATAAACGAAACCAACAACAAACACAACAACAACGTAATAGAAGGCGTAATGAAAATAGACGACGCCGTCTTCGTCAACAAGAAGAACAGGACAAAAGAGAGCTTGATAGATTGGAAAAAGAAATTCAGCGTGATGATGAATTACTGGACGGAAACATAATTATAAGAAAAGAGTCAGGTCCAAATAGTTTTACAACAGTTTTAGATAGCCCAGATGATGATTCAGAAGAGATGGAAGATAAAGAAAATAAAAGAGATAGATTGCCTAATCGTAACCGCAACAGAGGTCAACCAAGTCGTAGAAGAAATCAAAATAGTAATAGAATACAAATTCAAAGACAAAACCAACAACGTCGTCAAGTACAACAACGTCGTCGTAATCAGCAACGTCGGAAACAAAATCAACAACAACAACGTGACCGAAACCAACAAAATCGTCGCAGAAGATTTAGATACAGGGCAAGAAGTGGTGATGATAATGATGAATTTGACTATGACGAAAATTTAGAAGAAGAAATGTTATTAGACGACAATAAAGAACACTCAAGGAGAAGGCGTGACGTTCAAATGCCAGAGTTATCCGATAAAAACTTAAATAAAGAAACAATTAAAATTGAAGGTGAAGAAAAGCCAAAAGAAAAAAGCGAAGGTCTCAGTCCTGAAGTACCTGAAAAGAATGTAAGTGAAGAAAGTTTAAAAAAAGATATCGAAGAACATCAAAAATTAAGTGATGAAGTTTTGAAAAAAGACACTGTAGAACAACCAGAAGTAATTGAAAAGAATTTAGAAGAACCAGCAATAAAAAGTGAAAGCGAAGAAATTCCGAGAGAAAAACGTCAAATAGAAGCAAAATCTGCGAAACTCAATAAGAACATATGCCACGATGGTAAGGTATTAACTTATACTGTTGGACCATGTAAGGAAGGGTTTACACAAGTTCGAATTTATGATTTAACTCGTGCTTTGGGCAATAAACAAAATGTACAAGATTCAGATGAAGATTCTGATTCAGAAAGTAAAGGAAAAACTGTTCAATTAGTTAGAGTACCAGGTAATAGACAACGTTTCCGTCCAAATAATAATAATAATGCAGTTTTTGGTGGTAATTTTCATGACAAAGATTTAGATCCAGCTGATGAACCAGAGGAACAAGTTTTGAATGCATCCGGACATATTGAAGGTACATCACGTCAAGGCACTAAATATGTTATCAGTCTTGAAAGGCCAGTACAAAGAAAAAATTTAAGAAATAATAATAACAAAAATAATCGCATGAAAACAAAGCGTGCACGTTTAAATCGCAGAAGACGCAAAAATAAGCGTACTGAAGTTGTAAGGAATCAACAATTGAAGTCTAAGACTACAAATAATCGTAAACGTAATAATCAACAATTGAAAAATCAAAATAGAAGAAAAAATCAACAGAATGCCCAAGTAAATCAAAATCAAAGAGCACATGGTAATCAAAATAGAAGAACACAAGTAAATCAAAATCAAAGAGCACAAGTAAATGGCGGAAGAAGAAGAAATAATAGACGTCAACCGCAGGTTGTTCGAGTACATACCGCTAATAAAAATATTCGTATGGAACGTGATGAATTTTTAAAACAGAAACAACGACAGAATCAACAACAAAATCAAGAACAACAGATGAACAAAAATAATAACAGAGTGAGGAAAAATAATGTAAACAATTGAAATGATCCTGTGAGCTTCTAACTAACGTGTAAATTTTGATATCTAAATAAATTTGAAAAAAAAAAATCTTAAACTTTACTAAATTAAATTATTAAAAATTATTGGTTTAGTTTTTCTTTCAATTCTTTTATTAATGAGCTCTTTATATTCAAAATTTAGCTTTTTTGTCGTTTGTCAGAGACGGACATAGAAATATGAGTTCTTTTGAATCGAAATTATCGTTTCGATCAATTAAATCAGGCTGATTTGCTCTACCGTACATAAGGTTTGCAGCGATCTTCAATAATACAAAAAATATTGAACTATTCTAACATAAGAACCTAATTATTATTTCTTTTCAAGATTTCCTCATCAAAACCATATTCATACAAAGAAAATATTTTCTTGAAAATCCTCTCATCAATCATTCTATAAAATTACTTTTACTTACATACACATGTGACCTGTTTAGTTGCAAAAAAAAAAAAAACATAAAAAAAAAAATCATATTTACTACCGGATATGTTCAGTTTTTGTTCCTGTTTTTTTTATTGTATAAACAACAGTAAAAAATATTTTTATTTCGAAAGAGAGAAAGAGAAGAATAAAGAAAACAGGAAATTTTAACAAAAATTGAACGATTTTTAATCATAATTGTAATCTAGGATCACTTATATTTTTTATACCATTAGCCTAGAATTCAGGAACTTATAAAAATATTATTAAAGTGTTTTGCTGTTACAAAACTATATGTACTCATATATGTATAAATAGGGAAGGGTATTTTTTTATACAGCCACATTTTGTGCTATGCATAGTTTGTATACCAAATATCATACATTTTAATCATGGATGCACCTACAGTGAATGGTATAAAAAATTATAGTCAAAACTTTTATATTATCGTAAAAAGCTTTATTGCGCTATCATTCCGAACAGGTTTTCTTCTCGACATTCTTTGATATCTTTAACAAAAAAAGTAAATATGTCTCTTATTCTATTGGCGCACTTCCTTATTTTGACGAATATGATAGAATAATATGTTGATGGAAACGTCATCTTCTAAGAATTTCTGATTTAAGCACACACTCTAATAATAAAACAGTTTGTAAAATTGAATTTTCAAAAAACAATCATCTACTAATTTTACTAAGAATACACAAGAATAGCTGGCCAATTTTTGATAATCAGGCTGACAAATCTACGTAACAGTAAATTATTGACACGAACACAATCTCGTATTTTACCAACCGTAATAAAATTACAATTTAAATTTCGACCATAACTGTACACTTTCATTTATTTTATTGCCTGTAGAAACACAAACTTTACATATAATGGAAGAGAAACAGGTTAACATAAAAGAATAATCTATTATTTTAAGACCTAAAGTCGAAAAGGACTTTATGTTGAATATGAATTTTTTCTAGATTCTTTTAATGTAGTATTCAGTTGGTTTTTTTTTTTCAACACATACGAGTATACATACACTTTTGAGTTCGAACTAATATGGTCAAGTTATACACATACAACTCTTATACATTTATATTATATTTTAATAACAAAAATAAATTTTATAATAATGTAAAAATAAGAAGACAATCACAACAGTAAAACAAAAACACAAAAAATATTAAAAATTTGTAAGTTAAAACCACAGGTTATAATATTTTCATGTCAAAGAGAGAAACTTACTCATACATATACTCGTATATAGAAGAGAAAAACCTGTAGAGTGCAGAGCAAAAAAAAAAAATTTATTAATGTTGCACTGCAGTAAAACAGTACGGGGTTAAACTACACTATATGTAAAAATTATTCAAGTACAATAATCGTATATAATGTTTGTTTGTATATGTTTTATAACTATACTAATTAATATATTGTATATTTTTCCTATAATACATTTACCTATATATGTATAAAAGTTATAGCAATAAAAATGTTAGTAAATAGTATTAAATTTTATGAATTATATTGAAAATTCTTCCTAAGGGTCTTATTTTAAAAAGGAAAAACTTAAACTTTATGCACTAATAAATTTTCATGTCTCAGAAGTAGTTAAGATCCTGGTATATTATATACTATATGTAGGTAATAGAGTAAACTATTATTTTTTTTTTTTTTTTGCCATTTTAATTTTATAATATTAGTTTATTATTATAGAAGAGATCCTGTATTTTAGTAAAGCTTTAATAGTTCTAATTATTTAATATTATAGTGTACTTTATAATACAAAGTATATTTACTTGAAGGTGTTCTATGCCGGCAGTATTATTATTTACTGTAAATATAATGTATGCAATGTAATGCAATATTATTATTATTATTAAATGGAAAAGCTTAAGTAGTTTTCAAAGATGTATTTCAATGTTTTTTTTTTAATTCTCACTTTTATTAGAAAATAGAACAAGGATATTATAGTTTGGATAATGAAAACTATTGTGATACTCGATGAAATGAATATTGCTTAGGTAAATGCTATGCAAGTAAATATTATGAAAACTGTTATACCAATAACACTATAAGCTTAAAAGAAGTGACGAATTGTTGAGAATTTAAAATAAAATAAAAAGAATGTCTTTTGATTCTAGCTTAGCGATTGTTAACCTCTAGGTCGTAAAAAAATTTTATTTATTTTTTATATTTTAGAAAGAATAAGAAGTAATATTGGAGTAGCTATTATAAAAATTTATGAAATTTAGTGGCTTATAGAATAGGCCTTTTAATTATATTAGAGAATTCAATATTAATTAAATTTTATTAAAAGTAAGCTTTCATACAAAAAATTCAGTTCGCAAATTTTAGGCCCCCCAATGCCATGTGATTTTTCTATATTCCGAGGAGAAAATGACAGAAAAAATTTATTGCATTTTTCAGTCTATTCTAATCAAAACCATATTGCGTATTGTTTCCTAGAAATTTATTGAATAAACAGCTTGTGTTGGTCTGTAAGTTTGTCCTCCTAGTCTTGTAATGCGCATCATAGGTCATAAGGGCATTTTAAATTCGGAAAGTTGTACGAAATATATTAGCGAAAAATAAAAGTATTTGATTCCGAATAAAAGGAAGTTTTCTTTTCACACCAATAATAAACAATTATATTTCGGAAAAATTATCAACCATTGAGAAAAAAAAAATTTTTTTTTGAATCGGAAAGTTGTATTTTACGGAAAAATTTACCGCCCCAAAACTATAGAGTTTGTGTAACAAATGAAGAAATATTCTGTTCCATGAGCAAAAAATATGATTTAAGAGAAACTTGTATTTAGTCTAAGATTCTTGTACAGCATTTAATTGTGGGATTTAATAAAAATAATCTTTTAGAGTGCAATGCAGAATTAGTGTTCTATTGAAATTAAATAATCTATTCCATATTTTGAAAGTATTTCAAAAACTCTTTGAATTTCTTCCATTCTATTCAATGTAATTCAATTTTTCTCATAATTATAGAAAAAAATTTATTTTCTATATAGACTTTACATATTTAGTGGTTTTTTGATCTTTTGTATATACAAAAATATTTCAAAATTATCGTAATACTAAATTTATTCTGATTTATACTCTAAGGTCTACCAGAGAACATTATAAATTTTATTTCTTTTTGAAAGGATTAAAATTGAGTCCATCAAGTGGCTGTAATAATAAAGTTATTAGAAGAATTAGAAAATTTTCAAAACTTGTTTATTCTATTGGTTTGTGAAAATCAATTTTTAAAAGTTCTTTAGTATTGTAATTCAAGATTATAATGAATTTTATTATTTTATGGTAAAATAATTAAAAAAGATTTTATTTTTATTCTTGGTATTTTTTTCCTATTTTTGTTTTTCAAAGAAAATTTTTTTGTATTTTACATAAAGTAGGAATTCCATTTTTTCTTCATTAAATTTAATTAAAATCTTTGTTTTAAATATTTAAAATATAGGAAGATATTTGTTATGTAGAGAAGATACCCAGCATTTTTAGTATAATGGTAGTGTATAAAATTTGTTTGGATTTGAGAATACTGACAATTGAACCATTATATTGGCATTTAAAGAAGTGGGTATGCTATGAATGAAAACATTTTTATTATTGAAAATGAATGACGATCATTGATGTAAAATTCCTTGTAGAAGAGCAGTAATGAGTCAGCAGTCTCCTTCGATCCATCGAACCAAAATCCCGCTAAAAAGCATCGTAGTCTCCAGATCAAATTAGGATTTTCGCAGAGAACGTTCTGCACGTCTTCTGCCATTCTGTCTTTCCCATCTTTTTCAATAAATAGGTGCTCCTCTCAAAATTCAAACCGTAATACTTAGATCCCCACTACTTAGTGCGAGAAAAACTTTAACTTATAAAATATGAATAAAATACTGAACAAGTATACTGCTTAAAGTGTCAACGCACTTTTCTGACTCGGACATTCTTCGGAATCACTCAAATGCGGTCATCGAACCGGGGCATCCTGGCCCAGGAGGGATGACTGGCAACGATCCCGTCTAGTTTTCACGATGGGCTGTTTTCTCTTTCAAGCCCTTCAAATCTCCAGGTGATGACGGGATATATCCTGCATTTTTGCAGAGGGGTTTCCAACATATCGATAGAGCACTGTTGGAAATTTTTCGTGCCAGCTATGCGTGGGGTTACATCCCTCAGGCATGGAGGGTGGCTAAAGTGACGTATATTCCGAAGGTGGGTAAGCGACCAAGCAACCACCCAAGGTCTTTCCGTCCAATCAGCCTTACTTCTTTTCTATTGAAAGCAATGGAAAAAGTGATTGATAGATTTATACGGGACGATGCACTGGGAAGCAATCCCTTGCATGAATCTCAGTACGCCTATCAGTCGGGAAGGTCTACTGTACTCGTTCTGCAGAGTCTGGTGGGGGTCCTTGAAAACTCACTGGAAGTGCGGGAGATGGCAGTTGGCTGCTTCCTTGATATAGAGGGAGCTTTTCACAACACCCCATATCATGTCATCTGTGAGTCGTTGCACAAACGAGGGATTGATGC